TATATACTGTATACTCCACACTGCTCCTGTGGTGTCATCAAGTGTCCAGAAGCCCCGACATTTTTGGCCTAAAAGTCCTCTGTGATCAAAGCCTGAACTCAGCTCCAGAAGAGGATTTGTGCTTTAAGTCAGGATTTCATGGAGGTGAAAAATCATGACAGATGTTTTGAGTCTGGAGGTAGAATATGGACAAAGAGCTGGTGTTGGTCCACACTGTGCTGCAGAGACAAAGAGACACTGACTGAAAGACTCAGGACACTGCTGCACAATAACACATGTCTCTTCTCGTTGTCTGCAGCGTGTTTACCGGGCGCTGTACGACTACGCGGCTCAGGACCACGACGAGGTCTCGTTCAGGGATGGTGACGTCATCATCAATGCTCAGCCAATCGACGAGGGCTGGATGTACGGCACCGTGCAGAGAACCGGCAAGTCGGGCATGCTGCCGGCGAACTACGTGGAGTGTTGCAACTGAAGGAGGGAGGAAGGTGTGGAGAGGGAAGAGAAAGAGGGGGGGGGGGTTCTTATGCTGAAGTTAGTGGCTCTTTTTGGTGTTTCTTCTTCCAGATGTTTCCAGCTGCAAAAGTTTGAATTCACAGATCTGAAACTTTTTAACTGTAAAAACTGTAACAGAGCAGTTTCCACAGCTTCAGGTCACAATCTGGTTTTCTAGAGTCGTGTCATCACTTGTTCCTGTAAATTGAAACACCGACCTCACTCCAACACAACAGCTGGAATACACTGAACATGACAGACAGCTGATTTCAGACACGCACTGAACTCCGGAGGTTGTCTGGACATTCTCCAGATGAATTCTCCCAGTGAGATCCTCCGACCAGTCTTCTAGTAAAAGTTCTGCAGAAAGTCTGGAGGAGTCGATGTGAGAACACAGCAGGAGATCCTTCGTTGGGGTGGGGGGGTGGGGGCTCAGAAGCCCTTGTCTAGAGAGTTTGTGGTGATGAGATTTGAGGCACGTCACTTCCTGCCTCTGTCTGCTGCTCCGCCCCTCACCTGAACGCTTGTTGTGAACGAGTCTGAGCGAAGAATCTCCTGCTGCGTCCTTCATGTGTGAAAGAAACAAAGATCCAGACCCAAACCTCTGGACATCCTCCGGAGTTCATGTCTGAAAACAGCTCATGTGAGGGTGGAGGGATCAATGTCACAGAAGTTACGTCACATGTTGCACGTAGAGGAGGGAGAGAGAGAAGATGGAATCGTGAGGAAACAAAGTATGAACGAGTAGAAACATTTTTTACTCAAAGTGGGAGATGAGAAAAGAAGGAGGCGTGAATCCTTCAGTATTTTAACCAGAAGAGGAAGGACGGACACAGTCCAAAACTCAAACTGTCTGATTATCAGGAGAAGACGTTATAAAGAACAAGTCTGGTGATATTTTATATTTTGCTTCTCGTTGATATAAAAATATTGCGTGTGCATCCAAAGCCTGACACGTCTCATGTGTTTGTGCCATAGAGCTCCATCCGCCGCGGGAAATAGTCCCCAACAAATGCACTGTTTCCTCCTGTGAGCGGCTGTTTCAGGAAAAAACTGAGCCCCGTTTCTGAAATGAAAATATTTATTTGTGAGCTTGTTTTTTAAAGACTTTAGAGGACTCAGTCGCAGAGGAGTCAAAGAGAGTTTTCATCTGATGATTGACAAAGAGAAAACTGCAGGATTTCATAAGACTTATTGTGGAAACGAGGATGGGAAAGTGCTAACGTCTGATTTCTGTCTTTAAGAGACAAGTTGGAGGGTAGGGAGGACAGAGGGGTGCAAGGAGGAATTAAAGATAATAACAGTTTAAAGATGTCTCACGTTTAATCATTTATTTATCCTGAGTTTTATTCATGTGCAGGTGAGTGTAGTTTAGTTTTTGACCTCTGATATAAAAGTTCACACGGCGCAGCTTCGGTTGGAATAAAGGAACTAACACACTGTGTCTTTCTGTTTCTCATATCAAATACTTTTGTGTTTTTCACGATGAATAAAAGTTTTCAGATCGCGTGTTGTCGCCTCCAGACACTTTCTGGAGTCTGAACAGACTGTGAGGACGTCAGGCCTCGAGATTTGCGTGTGTCGAGTATTTTGATACACGGCTACCGTCTACATTTTGGAAAGAAATATCTTACTCTTGTACTTGTATGTGTCCAGTACAAGTTTTTAGGCTCTGTTGTCTTGCTGTGTGGATTTGCATCCCAGTCTTGTACTGAGTAAAACGTCCGTCAGCCACGAGACGTCATTTTAGCCAGAGAGTCTTCTGCCTTTTGTATGTTTGATTTTTTTCATCAATACTAGATGCAATAGAATATAATTTACTGAGTACTCACATGTTAACTGTGTTGTTTTTGATGGCATTTTAGAAAACCCCTTATTTTCCTTGTTTTGGTTCTAATGTCACCAAGTTTTTGATTTAGTCTGTATGTGATGACAGATTATACTAAGTTTATTTACCTTTTATTTCAAATGATATATCGCTCAGTTATGTTCTTTTTCCAGATGATTATTGCCGTGTGTTGCATATGTAAGAAATAAAAACAGACGATTTGTCAACAGAGATATGATTCTTCTTCAGAACGAGTCTGAAACAGTGAAATCAGAATACAACAAACATTTCTCATGTTTTCATCAGGTTAGATTTATTTCTCTTGAAATTTCCAAACTACCACTCTCACAACTGGTGAGCCAGTCCAGAATAGAGCCTTGGCCTAAAAACTGTATAACGTATGATGAAGAAATAAAGTTCAAAAGGTATAGGAGACACTGTTCAGACGACATCACAAACAGAAGTCAGGTTCATGTGGATCCCAGCGCAATCAATCTTTAAAGCAGGAGACAGTTCTGGACGTAGCTTTCAGCGAGGGCCAAGCTAAAGAGGGAATCAGGAGCAACGTCATGATTGACTGGCAAAAACAATGAGAGAGAGAGCAAACGGTTATATCAAGGTTGAGATCAGGATTAAACACAACAATCATTTCATATCATCCATCAGTGAGAATGTGGCTCAGAGGAAGAAACTGGAACATCAGAAATATCAAGAGAAAGAGAAAAGCTAGTTAAACCTAAAGAATCAGTTCAGTGCTGACGAGGGTTTTTAACAGAAGGACTTTTCAAACAAACTGGATCAATGAAGAGGATTTAAGGTGAAGGTTGGTTTGATTTCTTCTCATGTATTTCTGCAAACACTCCAGCACAGTAGGTGGCGCTAATGCACCTTCAACGTTGGGGACCACCCGCCATGACACCAGAAGAAGTTCCTGCCCGGGGGAGTGGTCCCACGCACCCTGAGCAGGTGACATCACTCAGGGGGAGGAGCTACCACACGTCACTACAGCGAACATCGTTTTAAGCGCGACTTTTGAACAACTTCCTGTCTGTTCAAAGGGACTTCCTGTCTGTCCAAAGTGACTTCCTGTCTGTTCAAAGTGACTTCCTGTCTGTTCAAAGGGACTTCCTGTCTGTTCGAAGTGACTTCCTGTCTGTCCAAAGGGACTTCCTGTCTGTTCAAAGTGACTTCCTGTGAACTGGTGAGTTAGCTCCGACCGTTAGCATTAGCACTGATGTAGTGACTCCATGGTTCCAGTCTGTTGTTGCTCTGTCAGCTCATTAGCGGAGCTGCTGTTAGCCACACGGCAGAGAGGCGAGGGAATGATGCTCTAATTATTCACATGATTATTAATAACCATGCTAACAGCTTCATTGTGTTTGTGTTCAGCAGCTAGCTGCTAAATCCACAGGGTGTGGCTGAACACAGGCAAAGAAATACGTGTTTAACTGCTCTGAAGTGCACAACTTCCACATGTTAATGTTTCCATGGATGAGTCTCATGACATTTTGTCACATTACAGGAACCACGTCATGTGAAATATCAGTATTATAATGATAATGTCACGTTGCAGAGTGTCTTTGTGTTAGAGAATCACACAACAAACCACTGGTTGTTAAGAGTTTGTGTTTGTGCTCACACAGGCCAGGTTTTTATAGAGCCCTGATCTTTGGATGAGAAACTTATGAATGGATGGAACCACGCCGAACCTCCAGCAACCACACTTCACAATATCCACCTTTTTGCTGCCAAGGCCAAACCCTCCATATATCCCCCTTCACACAGCACATGCCCCTGTTTCCTTCTGGTTCTGACTTTGACCAGACTGATGGTCTTAACAGACATTTTGACTTTATTCCAGTGCTGGGGAAGCATGAGCTCTAAACATTTGTGTGTGTGTGATCTCATGGAGTCTTGAAATGTGGAAGTAGTTTGTGACTTTGATGATGTTGTGGAATCAGAATATTCACAAGTGCACTTAAGAAATAAGATAACAGAGTTTGAGTTGATGTTCAACTGTAGACATTTGGAATGAAATGTGATGATGTGATGGCCAAATGTTAAATAT